GCTATCAACATTGCACATAATCCTGATCAACATGACAGAACTAAGCACATTGAGGTTGATAGACATTTTATAAGAGAAAGAGTTTCCTCAGGAGAAGTTTGTTTGCCATTCATCACATCAGACGAACAATTGGCTGATATCTTGACCAAGGGAGTTCCAAGAGGGAAGATGACACTATAAGCAAACTGGGCATGATTGACATTTATGCTCAACTTGAGGGGGAGTGTAAAGAGATTGGGCCGAATGGGTCCTAGTATCTTCTCTTGTAATATCTTTTCTTTTTCTTGTTAGCTAATGGGCCTCTTATTTCTTTTTGTTTGATCTCTTCATGTTACTGCCTAGTTGGCCGCCCACTTAAAGGCATACTTGTAATTACTTTAACATTAATTCTTAATAAAAAGGATTAGATAAGAAAGGGGAGGTTATTCAAACCTTTCTTCTTCTTCCTCCTCTTTTCGCCATTTTCTTCTCTTGTACTGCTGCTCTTACTTTTCTTCTTCCTTTTCTCTCTAAATTTCAAATTTAAACCTAATTTTTTAGGACAGATTTACATCTTTTTTTATCAATAACCATGAATTTTGTTAACAATAAAAAGAGTATACAAGTACAACCAGTCGATCAGGAGAGAGAAAACCTCTTATCTCTCCTTTATTCCTTCTTTCCTTGTAATTGAGCCCAAAACAATTGTCGTCTCCCCACCCCCTGTTTAACTAATATACCAGCCAAGTTGTTAACTGTCCTTTTAACCCAATGAAATTTCACTTCCATATCTTTAGTCAACCATTCAAGTTTTTTATCTAATTCATATATTTATACATCTTAGCTTCCCTGCTTCAACAACTAGTTTTTTTGACATCAAGACTCCTTACATTTTGAATTCCTTCCTACTATCCTACATGGCTCTTAAAAGTCAAAAAATCAACTGTCTGCCTATAAAAAAATCATATGGCTCTCAGCCCTCTCCAACTCTAAGTACTCCTACACCTGACAAGCCCAGGATGCCCATGTTTTACCATCAAAATTCAGTTTGATGAAACCTTCCTTCAGTGGCAACCAACAAGCAAGGGCTTTTTCTTCATATTGTACCAACTTTCTTTTATTTTTATTAAAACTCCAAGTTGTAGCTTAAAAAAAATTTGAGTTGTATTTTGTGATCAGAATAGAAGGGTGGATGTCATTGAAAAAATAAGATTTAGCTTATCACAAAAAAAAAGAAAGAAAACGTAACTGGCTAACTGCCAATAATATCCAAGGCAGAATTCTGGACACTGCAGAACATGATAACTCTAGAAAACAGTATGTACATCATACCTCCAGATAGGACACGCACAGAAGCACCACTATTCTCTTGTATTGACTTTATAAGAGAACCTTGCTTTCCAATTAGATTAATTGCTTGTGACGATGCCACCAATAACCGTACTGAACACATTGCAGTATTAGCAGTTGTTGAGCCAGCACCCTCACCCTCACTCTCCGATAATCCATTAACACGTTTAAATACTCTTAGCACAGCATCCATTGCAGGGGATATTTGTGCTTCGGGTTCTTCTTTTCCTGATACCAACACCTGAAGAGGAAAATCATAAAAATAACATCCACAGCCACTAAGTACACACAAAGCAAGTACAAGGTGACATTTCATACACAAAATTTACACCAAAAGTTGAAGAGTTCAACACAAATAACCAAGAAAAATATGGAACAAGGAAGAACTCTAGCTGGCTTAATTTCAAAAAGGATGTAACATCATTTCAAAATGCAAGATAGTAAGAATATTAAAAAAACAAGAACCCAGATTTTCACAGATCAACCCTGATCATAACAGCAGTCAAATATTCAGAAAAAAAAAAAGAAAAGAAACCAAAAGCTAAGAACAACAAAAAGGAAACAACCAGAAGGAACCAAGAACCATCAGAGAAAATCCATCTAGAAAATGAAAATGATGATAATGACAATGGTGTTGAACTTCCAAGTGAAGATGAGAAAACGATGTATGAGCCTTGAAGAATGAATGCATGACTCTCTACTTTACTACTTTTATAGTTTGTACTTTGTAATCTGTACTCTAGGACTGTGATGATGCTCTTGTTTCTCCTTTTTGATATTAACATGTTGATATTTAACATATTAATAGGCCTTTTCAATCATTAATTTAATTTAAAGCTCAGGTATATCTTTTCTTTTATTTTATAGTTTTTATTTAAAAAAAAATGTGCGCTTTGCTTCAAAAAAACGCATGCCTTGCCTTGCCTTGCATCTCCGGCACATAAAAGCCCTAGTGCTTTTTTGCGCCTTGCACTTTTAAATCACTGGTAACTCCAATATGTGATAAAATGAGAGAAAATAGACTGAGCTGTTTTGTGAAGACCATCTACGGCACCCATTAGAAGAAGTGATTTGTTACAGGTTGAAGGAGCTAGAAGAGCTAGGGCCCATAATTTAATAATGAATATCACACTAAACAAGACAGAATGGCAGAACAGGATTGTAATTGATGCCATGTAGTTGGGAGTTCGGACAAGGCTTAGATAATGACGACAATATTCCAAATATGGAATGTGGGACAAATACAAACAGCTCATGGCTGACCATATAGAACAACAAAAGCCAAGAATGTCCCTGGTACAAATCCCTCCCAAGACAAGGTAATACCCAGTTCAAGAAGCTTTTATTTACTCCCTAGCCGACAATCAACATATCTGTTAACTTGTTTGCTGACCTGGGAGTCCATTTGAATGTGTGGTTTATTCTAGGGTACCAATACCTTGATCTTCCTTATCAGATGTCTCAAATTCTAAGGGCTTTCTTCTTCTAATCTAAGCCATCCAATTACAACTTTGCAGTCACCTTCAATAGTCAGATCAGTCCAGCCTATAGTACTTCTGGGCTTGAGTCCTTGGAGAACTGCTAGTGTTTCAGCCTTCAAAGAGTTCTTCTCTAAACAGTTTATAGGAGTTTACCTTCATAACTTTTCTGATTGCACTTGCAATTCCTGATGGTCCTGGATAGCCTAGACAGCAACCATCAAAATTTAGTCTCAGTTTACTAGTTCTTGGCCTCTTCCATTGCATCAATGTGGGTTGCCTTCTTATTGCGTGGTTTGCAAATGCATCCCAGCCTCTAACAATGAAGCCCATCAGTATTCCTTTGAACTCTCACCTTTTCATTAGTCAATGCACGATCTTTACAGGAAGGTTCTCTATAAACTTATAAAGATGTGCACCACCTGCTTTTTATAGTTAAAGATTTTCTCATTCCATATGTCATTATGTTGCCCCACATAATTGCTGCTCTAATGAACTGCGGCAACTGCCACATTTATTTTCCCCCTTTTGTTTGTGAAGGCAATTGATATGGTACAAATAGTTCAAGTATGCCTTCTGGAGCAACTCAAATAGTTCAATTGATATGGTACAAATACCAAAGTGAGTGCAAACATTCTTGCAAAGGAACAAGATAAGAATAAATGATTGGCATTTTCCCATCTTTTTAGACAAAGGATGCATCAAATCCAGCCCATTATCCTTTGAAGCATCTATCAGTGTTAATGGTATTGGTCGCCTTAGAGTGCTCCACAGCTAGTTGGCCCTTGACCTACCCTGGCCTTCCTTTAGGAGCAAACACTAAAGAAAGAAGATTCTAGAATCCAGTTGTCAAGAGGTGTGCAAAGAAGCTGGCAGCTTGGAAGAGAAATTATGTTTCATTGAGAGGAAGAATTACTCTTAAGTCTGATCAAATCCACTCTTGCCAACCTACCAATTTATTTCTTGTCAATTTTTAGGATTCCCCAAAAGGAGGTAAAAAATTGAAAAAAAAAATCATGAGAGATTTCCTTTGGGGGCCAGGTGATGGAAAGAAAGATCATTTGGTTAATTGGGAGGTTGTGTGTAGAAGCATTCAAGAGGGTGAGCTGGGGTTTGGAAATATAGATAAAAGAACTTGGCCTTTGTTGCAGAGATTTGGCTTTGGTTTTGCTCTTTGTTTGGGTGTAGGTGGACCTCACCATCAGAGGTAAACATGCTATTCGACCCTTCCATGTTTACGCTGCCAAAGAAGGGGAAAGAACAATGTGGAGATGTGTTAGAGCAGCCTTGGTGTGGACCATCTAGGAAGAGAGGAATGCTAGAATAGTCTTAGAAAAAAAGAGGAGTATAGAAGCTGTTAGGGATTGTGTAATGGTCAGGGTGGTCCATTGGATAAAGACTTTGGAATTGCTCTCCCAATTCTCCTTTGATGATGTTTGGAGGAACTGGGAAGCAATTGCCAAAAGCTCCTCTAGAAGGGAAAGTGTGGAGATGCATTATATACCTCCAATGGAAGGTTTTGTGAAACTGAACTTTGACAGAAACAGTCAAGGTAATTCAGGCCCATTAGATATAGGAGGGGTTATTGAGAGATTCAGAAGGTCAAATTGTAGCTTTATTCTCAGGCCCCGTGGGTTTGGGTGACTGTCAAAGCAGAGTTGCTTGCAGCAGTACAAGGAGTGCAAATTGCAAATGAGCTACAGCTAGCAAATGTGGTGATAGAAGGGGATTCAAAAGTGGTGGTGGGGTGGCTAAAAGACCCAAACTCTATAATTTGGTGCTACAGGAATGAAATGAAAGAGTTTAAGTGGCTCATTAGAAACATGAATCTCAGGATACAATGGGTGAGGAGATCTGCAAACGAGATGGCGGATGCATTGTCTAAGCAAGGGACGAATAGGGATAATTTGTTTTGGGCTTAGTTGTAACTTTGTTTGCTTTTTTATAGAGAGGTAGCATTCCGTGCCTCTCTAAGGGATGCTTCCAAATTCAAAAATGCAGCATTCAGCATTCAGTAATTCAAGGCCTACTTAATTGCAGAGTAATGAAGCTCAGGAAATTAGAGAGAGAGAGAGAGAGAGTCTTTTCAGCATTAGCCCTCACCCAAAGGCAAGAGAGAGAGAGAATCTTTTTGGCTTTAGCCCTCACCCAAAGGCCTAGTAAGTACTACTCCTATAACAAAAATAAGGGTTCATCCCCTATATTTTGAATTTTATTTCCTTTTTCTTTTTCTTCTCATGAATATGTTGATTTTATATACTCTAATATGAACTTTATACTTTTCTTATGAAAATTATGAATAATTATTAAGGAAATATGGTTATGGTACCTAGGGAACTACCCTAGGATCTATTTTTTCAACAAAAAAAAAAAATCATCGCCTAGGCAACAAGGCACCCCCTGTCGCCTAGCCTCGCCTTGGCGCCTTGAAAACTATGGTGACAAGGCACCCTTTGAGGCTCGCCTCGCTTGATCGCCAAGCAGTTTTGTACTATGTATTATAAAATACTTCTTTAATCTTTATTTTTTGACATTATAATTATAAAATAGGCACTATTAAACTAACATATTCATTTTATGTGTTTATATACTAATTTTTTTTATTATCTTCTTATTTGTTACGATTTAATCAATACATTGCTAAATGCTGTATTGAACCCTCAAAGACTTCAAAACCTGAACCAATGAGTAAGGAAGAACTTAAAATTTTGTCTAATCAACACATTTTCTACTACTACTTTTTTTTCTTTTTTTCCTATAACAAAAATAAAGGGTTCATCCCTTGTATTTTTTGAATGTTCTTTTCCTTCTTTTTCTTCTTCTCATTAATATGTTGATTTTCTATGCTTTAACATAAACTCTATACTTTATTATGAAAATTATGAATAATTATTAAGGAAATATGGTTATGATACCTAGGGAACTACCCTAGGATCTACATTTTCTACATAAAAAGAAAGTCCAGCGCCTAGGCAACTAGGCACCTCCCTGTCGCCTAACCTCGCCTTGGTGCCTTGAAAACCATGTTCTTGGTAAGAGAATAACTACGAATGAGAGAGACCGAGAGAAAGGGAAAGGAGAAGAGAAAGAAGAAAAGAAATTCTTGGTATATTACTCCCATTAGATGTTACTTCAGATATTTATACAACAGATTGTTACAGCTGTCAACACCTGTAAACAACTTCTAACGAACATTCCCTCTAAAAACTCACGTGGCAAATTAAATCTTGCATCAGAAGGACCTACAACTCCTTTAGTAATAACCACACAGCACTTTGAAAAATGATATCAAGCCAACAAACATTGGCCCTATGTTATGTGACTAAAGAAAAAAAAGTACTGGAATCTAACATTGGTACAAGGTGTCATACTTTCTGAGCCTGGAAAGAAATAGTATTTAAGGATTTAGCTAGTATTTAAAAAAATATATAATTTTATTTTAGCAGATAGTGGAAATGTGGAATAATTGTTAAAAACAAAATATATATATATATGTACAAACCCTAATTAACGTTGTAACATCTCGTGCAGGAGGCATCAATAAAAAGATTAAACCCTAAAATGAGAAATAGAAAATTAACGAGAAAGGGAGACTCACAATACGATCAGCAGTACCAATGGCGCCTTCGAGGATGCGAATGCGAGCCCGAGTCTCCTCGCACATCTTCTTCACTAGTTCGCCCCTGCGGCCGATAATGCTACCAACCTTAAGAACAGGGACTATGAGGCGGAATACATTGTTGCCAGGCCACCCCGGCCACTTCTTCTCTGCGGGCGTTGCCTCCGGGACCGTAGTAGAAACCGGAGCTGCCGTAGTAGCCACCGTCTCTGGAGCTTGTTCAGATGATTCGTCAGGCCCCGAACCCGAAGTGGCGGTTACCGTAGCAATGGCTGTTTCAGCCATCGCCGGAACTTGGTCAGTTCCCGGCACCGTCGTCGGTTCGTTCTCTGAGGGTTCAGTAACAGCAGCCATAACTGTGTGTGTATGAGAGAGAGAGAGGAGCTAAGGTTTATGATACGAACAGACAGGCGGGAGCGAGGGTTTTAGCATTCGACATTGGGTTGCGTTTTTAGAAAAATAAGGCTGCGTTTGGTTGCACTGCAAATCTAACCCAAAATACAAGGTTTTGCACTCTATATGCTCAATTTACAAATATGTTGTCTCGTACTCTCAATCTATATATAAGAAACATGCCACCATATATATTTTATAACTCTCAAACCCTCTTCATTTTAACATTTCTTGTTCCCTCCTCGTGAAACATGTCACCATCTATATATAACCCTTTATTATTCTATCTATATCCCTTTTTAAAACTATTCTTAGAATCTTTCTCATTCCTAATATCTTTCTTTATATATATATATTAAAACAAAGAAGTTTAGAAATTTTCTCTTTTTTGATTTTTTAATCCATTTGGTTTTCAAAACTACCAATTAGAAACTCTATGCCATGTTTGGTTCAATTCTCATTCTTACCCAATGTGAAATTCTAAAATATAAAATAATGAATAAAAATAAACATAATGAAAAAAATATTGTTATGAACCAAACACTTTTTTCCTATAAGTGAATTCTTTTCCGACTAGCAAGTCACAGGTTTCCAATAGTCATTGTTTACCAATTAGATTAATGTTTTGTAAAAGTGCCTTTATAAAAGTATTTTCCTAAAAATGTTTTTATAAAAGTACTTTTGTAAAAGTGATTTTATAAAAGTACTTTCGTAAAAATACTTTTATAAAAATACTTTTGCAAAAGTGTTTTTATAAAAGTACTTTCGTAAAAGTACTTTCATATAAGTACTTTTGTAAAAGTGTTTTCATAAAAGTACTTCCATATAAGTACTTTGTAAAAGTGATTATATAAAAGTACTTTCGTAAAAGTACTTCCATGAAAGTGCTTTTATAAAATTACTTTTGTAAAAGTACTTCCATAAAAGTGCTTTTATGTAAAAGTGTTTTTATAAAAGTGTTTTTGCAAAAGTAACATCTATGCCAACAATTTTATATGTAGAGTTTCCTCAAAAAATGAAATGAGCAAAGATGGGGCATTATTATTTTTCATTATAAAAAGAACGTGGCCCTTTTGGCAATAATTTTATAACCAAACACTGTCCCCACTACAATCTCTCTCTCCCCACATGTTCCAATAACCCAAATAATCTAACGGCATAAAATTTCTCCTATACAACCTCCCCCACCATCCCCAACTTTCACCTAAGTTATCTTAGAGTTTCTCTTCTAAATAATATCTAATTCATATTAATCTTTTCCCCAACTTTTTATCCACATCTATCTAAAGAAAGTTTGAATCAAAAAATCTAAGAATTATTTAAATATTCTAACAAAATTATATAATAACTTTATAATATAAGTTAAAATAACAAAAAATAATTATAATTTATTTAATAGCATTCAGATTATTAATAATTATATATATTACAAAATCCATCACGAAATTATGTACAAACAATATAAATTATGACTTTATACATTATTCAATCTAAATGTTATTCAAATAATAAAAATCTAACATTAAAAATGAAATATTATTTAAATATTTCAATAACTAGATATCTTAAATAATAAAATATTAAAATTAATATTTTAAATCAATAAATAATATATTTTAAAAAGTTATTAAGTAACTTTCAATTATAATAAATAGATTAAGATTTTAAATATTTAGTTAAATAACGAAATATTTAACATAACTATATTTTAAATAGTTAAAATAACAAAATTATGTATTAATATTACTATAATTGTATGGATTATTAAATTCAACAAGTAAATAATATTTTATATTTTAATTAATGATATTATTTCAATAAATAAACAATATTATAAATAACTAATTTCATTTTTACAAATTAATAATTATAAAAAACAACTTCAAAAAAATTATTTTTTATTAATAATAATTTTAATATTTTAATATTTATTTATTATATATTTATCTATACTAAAATTAATATTTATTGTATTCTAGTAATTATTTATTTATTTTTATGATAAACATATTTTCAATAATTATGTATAAATCTCTTTTTGTTATGTTATTTAATATAAAATTTTAAACAATTATTGGAGTTTAAACTACTGTTATTTAGCTTTCTAAATTTAGCTTATTGTGTATTTCGCTATAAATTTTTAATAATTATTGGAAACTAAACTATTGTTCACGGGTTGGTTTGTTTTAGTTGTAGGTTGTTTGGCCAACCAAATCGACCTGATCAAGTTGGGGGGTTGGTCACTCAAGTTATATCAGTTTGGGTCAATTTTCAAGTTGGTCAGTCGATTCAAAAGATTTAAACTTAAAAAATTAAGTTTAAATTTAAAAAATACAATGGAATTATTCAAAAATAAATTTATGATATAAACTATTTTAGCCTAAGAAATATTGGAAATTTTCCACTTTCTTTTATTAAAAATATACTTAAAATATAAAATACTAATATATATATATATATATATATATATATGATTGGGTTGTTTGATTTTAATCAGTTTACAAATGGATAAAGCGAAATTTATCCAACTCATTCAGGTTGGGAAATTGTTGAACCAAAGCTGACTATAAATACTAGAAATCGGGTTGGTCAGTTTCATTAATTTGATTCAAAATGGCAACGGAGCGGGGCGGAGACAATGAGCCTCTACCTCTCCCCATCCCCATCCCCATCCTAATGAAAATCCCCATCCACATCTCTGTCTCCATCCCCACTAACGGGTACAGAGTTATCCCCATCCCTATCTCCATAAGGACCCCCACTCCCCATAATTCTTTATAATGTCAACCATTATTTTTTGTTTTTATTTTTATTTAAAAATAAAAATTTATAATCATAATAAAAATAGTCAACCATATTTTTAAAAATATTAACATATAGAGGTATGTCTACATGTATACATATATAAACTATGTGTATATATGCATATATATTAATGGGGTTCCCATGGGGCGGGGATCGGGGTCCACGTGGAACAGGAGTGCTCTCCCTATCCCCGCATCAGTCCCACCAACGAGGATGAAAATTTCCCCATACTTGTCCCTGCGGGGGGAAAATCTTCCCTCGTCCTCGCCCCATTCGAGGTATATCCCCCCCCAGGGATTAGGAAAATGGGGAAAATGCCATCCCTAAGTTTGATAAACAACATTATATAAAATTAATTATTGTTACTTTTGTATTGTAAAATAATTATTAAAAGTAGTATATCAAATATAAATGAATATTAATTATTACATAAAACAACTGTATACAGGGATGCCAATGGGTTGGGTTAAATGGTAAACTTAGCTTGACCTGACCTTAGAGGGTTGAGTTAGAGTCAAGCATATTTGGTTTAAGGTCGAGTTAGAGTTTTGATTCTTAGACTTGAGTCAGGTTCGGCTTTTGACTGACCCGTCAACTAGGTCATGATACCTTGCATATATACCAAGTATTCTTGCAATTTTTTTTTTTACTTCTAACTTTATAGGCTTAAAGTTTATAATTTATTTATATGTTGATTTTGATTTTCTTGTTCTTTTTTAAATGGAAAAAAAATAACACATTAAAATCTACGAAATTGTTTCCTTATTTAAATTAATGTATTTTAGGTTTTCAAATTGTGTTGAAAATACATTTAAAACTATATGGGTCAAGTTGGGTCATCAACTGGGTTAAACCCTATAGGGTTCGAAAATCATGTATTTTTAAGTCGAGTCAGATCGGGTTTGGGTTGGGGTGTTGGAGGGTCGGGTTAGGATTGAGACAAACCTGTGGCGAACACGACCCATTAACAACCCTATGTATACTGTTACAAGTTTCTATTATTTATCTTTAACTTAACAAATCTCATGCATCACACTAGTCCCCACTAGTATATATTACACTAGTCCCCCTCAATAATAGGGGGTGCAAGATTCCCTCTAGAAGCACTAGGAGTTGCCACCTAATATGGCCTATCTCTTTTTTTTTCCTATCTTTTTTATTAGGAAACTAACTATCCCCTGCCACTTTCTCCTAAATTATCTCTATCTCTCCCTAACTCCTATTTATCTCATAAATTATCTATAATTCCTATTTATCATTTCTCATACTTTTCATTTACATCGATGTAAAGAAAGTTTTAATTAAAACATATAACAATTATCTAAATATCATAATGAAATTATGTTAATAACTTTAAAATATTTGTTAAAAACACAAAAATAATTATAATAGGTTTAATAATATTAATATTATTAAAAATTTTATATTTGTATGAAATTCGTAATGAAATTATGTAATAACAATATAAATTACAAATTTATGGGTTATTCAATTCAATAACTAAATAGTATTTTAAAAACACAAACAAAAATATTAAAAATAGATAAATAATTATGTAACAAAATATTTAAAATTATATAATATAAAGAAATAAAATTTAAATAACAAAAAAGATTAAATATTCTACATATTATTTAACTATCTAAATAATGAAATATTTAACATAACTAAATTTTAAATAGTTAAAATAACAAAATTACGTAATAAACTAAAAATTTTCTTAATAGTAGAATAATAACTATAATATATTTCATAAATTTTGAATTAATAATAATTTTATATTTACAAAATTAATAATGAATTTATGTAATAATAATATAAATTATAATTTCATTGAATATTAAATTTAATAAATAATTAGTACTTTAAAAATATAAATAATTAAATAATATTAATAAATAAGTCTTATCTTATATATTATTTGTTATTTAAAAAATAAAAAATAGATTAAATAACAATTTTTTTGTGTTATAACTTTAAAAAGTATCAAAATCACAAAAGTAATTATGATTAGCTGAGCCCCATGTGGTGCACGAGATGTGACATCCGTCCTTGTCCCTCGCCCTTGTAGTCAAGACACTCTACCCCTTCCCCGCCCTTTTCCTAGTGGCATAGCGGGTTTGAAGTGAGGCACCCATTCCCTGTTGGGGAAGGGGAATTCCCAAATTTTCCCCATCCCAAGGCAACCACATAAAAATAATCTAATTTGTTGATATTTTACAAATAGGATTATGGAAATTTGGGGTATTTTAGGAATTGGAATATGACAATTTGTGAGTATTTTATAAATAGAATTGTGGGATCCTTGCATTAT